AGAGGGAACACAAGCAGGGGGAGTGGGAGAGGGAGAAGCAGGCTTCCATGGAACAGGGAGCCCAATGTGGGGCTTGATCCCAGCACCCTGGGATCATGACCCGAACCAAAGGCAGACGCTTAGCAACTGAGCCACCCAGGTGCCCCAAGATGAGATTTCCTGTTTATATTCTTGCTAGGACCTGAACCCCTGCCCTACACAGGGCTTAAAATAATGTATGTCCTCCTTGTAACTGTCAAGGAGTTAATGATTTCTTTGGCGTCTTCCAGCACAATAGATAACATCTAAGGAGTGACTAGGCGAGGTCATCATGAATGTTTTCCAAGACCACTGACTCCAGGCACCTTGACACCAAGACCCCTGGCTCCAGGGCATAAGTGGCTTTTGGAGGACACCTGAGTACTTGCCCTTGTTTTGACCAGTTCCTAGATGCTGACAGGACATGTACCACTGACCACCATCCTCAGTAAAAACCCAGACTCCAAGCAAAGAGGAGACTCATTCTCCTTTTCCTTTCTGAGTCTCCCAGATGCTCCATCTGTATCTGCTCTCTCTGTATCTTCAATAAACTCTGCTCTCACTTCCTCTCAGCTCATGTTTGATTTCTTTCCTACACGAAACCAAGGATCCTGTTGGCTGGTCCTGTGGGACCCTCTCTGGGTCCTCAGACCCAGCCAGTCTGCATCATTAAGAGCTTTGCCGTTTTAAAACTTTAAAACTTCAAAGTTATTATTACATTTACTTTTTAAAAATATAAGGTCTCATCCTAATCAGAAAACCTCCCTTGTTTTATCCAGATATATTGCACTATCCACAAACTTTGTTCTAGTTTCCCGTCTCTTCGTGTTATCTAAACTTGTATATAATGCTCTCCTGAGCATTAAGGTTAAAGGTTACCATCCACTATTACAACAGTCTCCTTCCTGCCACTGTTCTACTATTCAATTCATCCTTGTTATATGAGCAGTTTAACCTTCTAAAACACAAGTTTCATTTTGTCAATCCCTCACTCAAAAACAGCAAATGCAAATTAGTGGAATGAATGGTGAGAGGTAGGGTGAGGCCAGATAGATTATGCTGGCCCTCGAAAGTTGAATTACAAGAGTAAAGTATTTGAGGAAGGGATTAACATGATAAAAGGTGTTTTACTTAGATCCTGCCTGTAGCAGTGGGCAGACGCCTTAGAGATGCAGGTTATGAGTCAGGCTATCAGCTGTTGCAGAGATCAGGTACACTGTGCTGATAGGAAGGAAAGTGTTATGGATCCTAGGCCTGACCAAAACAAAACAAAAAACAAAAAATGCTATCTTGTTGAGAGGTTCATAGTGTTGGTTAGTAGAATTCTTTGATTTGAGCTTGCAAGGTTTAACATATATACAAGATGAAACAATTTAGTTACAGTGTAGCAATTTGATTTTAGATGTACAAGCTGTATCTGAAGCACAAGAGTTTCTGAGGTGTGATTTTAAAGGTTGCTGGTTCACTTAGGATGTGGGACTGTGCCCAGGAACATCTGGCCACTCTTTTATGGATCCAGGATTATACTTAGTTGACTCCATAAAAGGAATACTTTCCTCTGGATTCTAGGTCAGATGAACCAGACAGGATTCTGGTTCTGCTATTGCTATAAACTTGCAGGAACCTGTGCTCCTCTGGTGCCCTCTGAGCTTCCAGGATCCCTCTCCCAGGTCATTATCCTGCAAAATTGGAGAGAACTGTAAATGCTTTCTCCCTCCCTGAGCTAGAGACTCTCCTCAATCCTCACCAGATATTCCAGGGAACAAAGCAGGAGGCAGTATTCAAACTTGCTTTGTTCTTACACCTATATAGTAAGATTGTGCTTTCTAAATAAGGGACCTCGGGGCGCCTGGGTGGCTCAGTTGGTTAAGTGACTGCCTTCGGCTTGGGTCATGGTTCCAGGGTCCTGGAATGGAGCACTGCATCGGGCTCCCTCCCTGGCGGGAAGCCTGCTTCTCCCTCTCCCATTCCCCCTGCTTGTGTTCCCTCTCTCGCTGCCTTTCTCTCTCTCGCTAACTCTGTTAAATAAATGGATAAAATCTTTAAAATAAATAAATAAGGGGCCTCTTTGTTAGATGAGAAAGATTCCTAGTCTTAATTACCTCTTCAGAACTAGGAAATTTGTCTTCAGAATAAAACAGTGGGAAATAGAGTGAAAAAAAGTTAAGTTGTGCGAGTTAGAGGAAGACATGCCATATGATTTCACTCATGTGGAATTTAAGAAACAAAACAGATGAACATAGGGGAAGGGAAAAAAGAGAGGCAAATCATAAGAGACTTAACTATAGAGAACAAACCGAGGCTTGATGGAAGGGAGGTTAGCAGGGGAATGGGTTAAATAGGTGATGGATATTAAGGTGGCACTTGTGATGAACACTGGGTGTTTTATGTAAGTGATGAATCACTAAATTCTACACCTGAAACTCAGTTTTTTAAAAGATTTATTTATTTACTAGAGCGAGAGCAGGAGGGAGGAGCAGAGGGAAAGAGAGAGAATCTCCAGCAGACTCCCCACTGAGCATGGAGCCCAATGCGGGGCTGGATCCCAGGATCCCACAATCCCAAGATCATGACCTGAACCAAAATCAAGAGCCCCTCAAACGACTGAGCCACCCAGGCACCCCTACACCTGAAACTCATTTTACCATATATGTTAACTAATTGGAATTTAAATAAATACTTGAAATAAAAAAAGAGTTAAGGGGAGGTGTAGTCACGGAGATCAGAGGAGAACCCATAAAGGAGGAAAAGTTCACAGGATCAAGGGCCTGGAAATCTAAAAGTGTGAGTTAATGGACTTTCCCAAACCACGAATTGTCAGAGATTTTGTATATTGCTGTTTCAGAAAGAGGGGAGTTCAGAATAAAGATTGCAAGAGGGAATGGAGGCATGTGTAATAGAGATTGGAAGTTCCCTTTGTACATTCTGTCCTGCTATTAGGTTAGTCTCTCACTTCCTGTGAGAGCAGCTTCATTACCAACTGACCCCATTTGCAGCCTATGCTAATGTCTTTTCATCTACTTCTGAACTGTCTAGAGTCTACCCAACTTTTAAGCCCTAGCTCAGTTTCACTTCCTCCTTCAAGTCTTCTTTGAAAATTATTGTTTCCATTTCTTTCTCCATTCGCTGAGATCTTGTGTTAATAGTTACAATCATACTAGTTAGTAGGTAATAGTTATAGCAAAAGTGTGAGCCTACTCCCCTCGAGTTAGGCAGTGTAATTTTTGAGTTTGGAGACTATACTGTAAAATTCTTTCGTATATTCCTTGCAAAAATTCTAGGTTCATACTTATTAGATATACCCTCAGGTCTAAAGTTCTGTTAAATATTCAAGAACCACTTAAAAATACTGTATAAAACCTTCTATCCGAGAATGCTTTAAATTTTCAAGTTGAAATGTATCCATTTTGACTATCTTAACAGGATTGCCCAAGTCATTCCTATAGCAGAGCAGAAAACTTTCAACTTCCTCATTATTGTCAAAAGGGACAGCCACGTTAGAGACTTGTAGCAGTGAGCGCTGAAATTCGATCTGTATTAAATAGCGACCTTATAATCATCTCAATGGTAAAAGTGTCAAATTTCACAGACACCTAGAAAAGGGAGCGAAAAGATCATCTAACAACAGTTTGCTTATCTGTCAGATCAGGGAGTTCACCAGGGTTTCTAAACACACTGCGGCTCAGAGTCTAACCCGAGTTTTACGCCATTAGACGCAGGCAGCCAATTGGGCCGTCCGGTTGCCGTGCATCCTGGGAGCTGTAGTTTCCGGCTCCCTCCTCCTGACTCCAAACTCCACCGAGCAGCTGGAGGACGGTTGCTTGGTATTATTAGCAAGCGAGAAGTATGGCGGTGGCGCGCGTCGACCCGGCTTTGCCTCCTGGAGAAGGTAAGGCGACCCCCCCTTGAATCCCAAAGTTTACTCCATGGAACTAAATTAAATAGTTACCTGGTGGAGAAAAGAAGTCTGGGTTTAGGGGTGCAGTTCTGTACCAGTTCTTTTGATGCGGGCTGTGGGCGTCGCGGAGCCGCGCTGCCCTCTGGGAATTGTAGTTCCCGGGTGCTGTCTAGCTCTGCGGCTTTACGGAGAGGGCCGAGCTGGGGACTACATCCCCAGGGTCCTTCGCGCGGCCGGGAGCCTTGGCTCCCGCGCTTCTGAGGCTGCCTGGGTGGTGGGTTTCGGACTGCGATGGCCTTTCTTGGATTTTTAGTTTGAATTCTGGATGCCCAAGTGAAAATTGCCGGATCTCCATCTTTCGCTTTACGCATCTCCCTTATCCTCTCGGTTCCTATCACGTTCAGGAAACCCTCTCTCAAACATATCTCCTAGACTGACGTTAAACCCTTTTTTGGATGTGTTCGGTGGCCGTGGTAAAATTCAGGGTGACCGAGAGTCCACAGATATCCACCCCTTGTTCTGCAGACCAGGTTTTGGGATCGGGTTTGGTCGCTACCCAGCGGAGCGCGGGGTGTGGGTGCTTCTGTGGCCGGGAGTCGCCGGGCGTGAGCCGAGCTCCTGTGTTTTGGTTACAGCTCCGAGGCTCCGCAGCAGCCTTCTGGGTCGGGGGCCGGGCTGAGGGTTGAGGCCTCTCTCCACAGCTTAGACCAGGGGGGTCATTATCTAGGGGCCCTGACTTCTTGGTGGGGGTGAGGGGGATCGATGGTTCTAAGAGGTCTCTCGACCCCGTGGAACTGTGTGCAAAGACTATATTTTCCTTGGACAGTACACAGCTTTCACCAAATTCTCAGGGAATCCCCATGATCACCCCCAAATTCTGGCATCCATTAGACAATGAAAAGACGTTGAAACCTTTCAGGAGAGCAATCTCGCATAATTATTTCCCACAGTAATCTTAATCTGGGTATACATTTGAAATTGGCAGTTTCTGTGGCCCCACCCCTTTTTGATATCGGCTTCTCTTAAACTCCACCTCCTCAGCCCACCAAGGGGATTTACTGACAATAATAGCAGTAAACATTTACAGAGCACTTTTTATATGAGCCAGACGTTGTTCTGAGTGTTTTTTTCTTACATGATCTCATTTTCTCTGTAGAACAACATTATAAGGCAGATATTATTATCACCCTCATCTTGTAGAGTGGAAAATGAGCCCCAAAGAGATCTATTACTTGCCCAAGATACCACAGTGGTTATTGGCGGAGCCAGGATTTGAACGTCTGTGAAACTAGATTATTGAGTGCGGTATGCCAGGAGTGGGGCTAAGTTTTGTTCATATGGTTTCTGTTTTCATCCTCACCTCAATTTAATTAATTAGGTGTATTGTTCCCATTTTGTAGATAAATTAACTGAACTATACATTGATTTTAAAAATAGTTTGGGCACTTTAGGATATACTGGTAGTTAGGTTGTAAGCAGGTTGATCTCTATCAAAAGATTAGTTCCGTTTAAAAAAAGACAATCATTACTTAGCCACAAAATATGGAATAGTTCTTATTTATTTACTTATTTGTTTATTGAGAGAGCGCGCTTGCGCTGTCTATGGGAGGGGGTTGAGGGGAGGGTCAGAGAGAGAATCTTTTTTTAAAAAAATATTTTATTTATTTATTTGACAGAAAGAGAGAGCAAGAGAGGGAACACAAGCAGGGGGAAAGGGAGAAGCAGGCTTCCCGCTGAGCAGGGAGCCCGCATTGGGCTCCATCCCAGGACTCTGGGATCATGACCTGAGCCGAAAGCAGACACTTAACGACTGAGCCACCCAGGTGCCCCAAGAGAGAGAATCTTAAGGGTGGAGCTGACGGGGGGCTCCATCCCTGGACCCTGAAATTATGACCTGAGCCAAAATCAAGAGTTGATGCTTTAACCGACCTCCAGTAGTTCATATTTAAATGTGAAGAATTCCAAAGTATTATTGTGAGCAGAATATCACAAATTTCTAGGTGTAATATGATATTTCGGAGGGAAAGTGAACAATTTCAATCTGTGGTCATTTAGAACTTGATTGCCTTAATTTTTAAATCTTGATATTTATTATGCTCTAGTGTTTTCTAACTCTAAATATAGAGATTTTATGAATATAATTCCATGCTCAGCTTTGTATTTGTGTTTTCTAACAATTTCTCTTCTATCTTCAAGGATCAGTGGTCAACTGGTCAGGACAGGGGCTACAGAAATTAAGTCCAAACTTACCCTGTGAAGCTGATATTCATACTTTGATTCTGGATAAAAATCAGATTATTAAATTGGAAAATCTTGAGAAATGCCAACAATTAATACAAGTAGGTATTGCCATCTGGGGGAAATAGTTATATATGTTTATTATTTTACAAAACAATAAAATAACCTAACAAAGAGTAACTCTGCAGGCCTAGAAAGCAGTAAATCTTATCTTAAATTTTTACATGACAATTTACCTTGAAGGTGAACACATGTGCTACATTTAAAATTGACTAGAAAAAGAAGCATTTGTTAAAAAAACAAAACATTTTGTGTTGGCAAAGTGTTGTGTTGTTAAGATAACCTTTTACATCATGATGAAGGTAAAGAGTTCATTCATTCATTCTGTTAGCAAATATTTATTGGGCTCCTCTTATGTATCTGGCACTCCTCTCAAGTAGTTGCTCTGTTAAAAATGTTTTCTCTTGAACAGTTGGAGAGGATCTGATTGCTCAGCTTTACGTATATTTTCCATTGCTTAGGAACAACTTAGAACAACAACAACAACAAATAGTTACACTATAGAGTATTTAGATAAAATATGTGAGAAGTTCAAATTGGGTTTGTATATTTGGGAATGTTTGGCCATATAAACAAATCTTTTTAACCACCCTCATGTGAAAGTAATATGCATATTTTATTTCTAAGAGAATGATATGTTTTCTTTCCACAGTTGTCAGTGGCTAATAATCGGCTGGTGCGAATGATGGGTGTGGCCAAACTGACCCAACTCCGGGTGTTGAATTTGCCTCATAACAGCATTGGCTATGTGGAAGGGCTGAAGGATCTAGTACATTTGGAATGGCTGAATTTGGCAGGAAATAATCTCAAGGTGAATTGTTTCTTTTTTTTAGTAGTTGCGTTTTCTTTTTTTAATTTATAAAAGTATTCACTGTAAAAAAAAACTCAAGCAGTATAGAAATAAATAGAATAAAAAGTGAAAGTATCTACTCCCACTTCCCAGGGATAATTTTAGTTAACATAAACTGAAAAAAAAATTTATTTTGACACACATATGCAGTATAATATTCCTGCTTCCATCACTTAGTAGCTCTGTATTGTTGTGTAATAAATATCTCCATGTCTTATTTTTTGATATGTTAGATGAGTGGACTCAAATGATATTAATAGCTCACTTATTTTTTTTTTTAAAGACTTTATTTATGTACTTGAGAGAGAGAGAATGAGAGAGAGAGAGAGAGCATGAGGGGAGGAGGGTCAGAGGGAGAAGCAGACTCCTCGCTGAGCAAGGAGCCTGATGTGGGACTCGATCCCGGGACTCCAGGATCATGACCTGAGCCGAAGGCAGTCGCTTAACCAGCTGAGCCACCCAGGCGCCCAATAGCTCACTTATTGATCAGTTAATTTATGCTAGGTACTATTGTTTGCACCTTAACTGTATTAACTCATTCAGTGTCATGACAGCCTATGAAGTAGGTAAAAAATCATTATGTCTATTACATAAATGAGAAGCTGAGGTACAGAGAAGTAAAGTAACTTGCTTAAGGTCACATAGCCAGGAGTAGCAGAGCCAGGATTTGAATCCATGCAGTTTGACTTCACTCTTAACTTGTAAACTCTGTACTGTACCAACTGTCATGTGTTATCACTAAGGTTTTTTCAAGCTATAAATATCTGGGATGATATGATCCTCTCCTCTCGGGATAATGAAGGTAGAAGCTTGCTATATAACAATTTACCAAATTCTGTTATTACTACTTCCTCTTTCTCTTGATAAATTCTCCTCTGCTTCCAATAATAAGCAGAGGAGGCAGGAGACTCAGCTATGAGGAACTAGGGAAGAATTTCATTTTTTGATTTTGTGTACATGAACTAGTGTGATGCTTTTCTTGTGATAGGTCATGGAACAAATCAGTAGCTGTGCAGCTCTACAGCACCTTGATTTATCAGACAATAACATATCCCAGATAGGTGATCTATCTAAATTGGTATCACTGAAGGTAAGTGTGTCATTTCTGACATTTTCTTGTCATTTCTGAAATTTTTATGTCATTTCTGAAATTTTATACTAATTTTATACTAATATACCAAAAGAAAGTGATCTGATTGGCCTAAAATCAGCCTATTCTGTATGGAGAACAGATTGTGTACATTATGATAAAATTTCTGTTAGAGCACCAGAAATTAAGTATGTAACTCTTTGTTTTTAGTTTCTATAATTGATTTATTTTAACTAGAACTGGTCATTGTAGTTAAGGTTAACTCTTATTTGTCATCTATGAACATAATGAAATCCCCTTTATGCCTAATCAGCCAACATTAGCAGCTTTAGCTATATAATATGTAACATGTTGGTAAAGTTGAGAGTTATCATTCCTGAATTTGAGTTTGTTTTTTTGACACTTGAGATTGCTGTTTTTTGAGTAAAACGTATTACTAAATTTTCAAAAGGAACTTTAATTTAAAAAGTAAACCTGTAGCGTATAGCACTTTTTATGGAGGGGAATTTATCATGCAATCAGATAAGTAACAGTTGCAGTTACAGCTTCAAAAACATGTAGGCTTTTTCCACATTTTTGCATCATTGGATATTATTAGTATCATATAACTCATTAAGCCTTAGAAGCAGTATTATTAGATCAACTTTCCCCACATCTTTAGCATAAATCATTTTTAGCAATAATTACTCTAAACAATCTGATGTGTCCAGATACTAAGAATTCTGATGAACTACGGATTTTTTTTTTTTTTCTGGAATGATTATTTTATCAGAATCCTGGGTATTAAACGCCTTCAGTTATTCTTCATTGTTGTTGACTTAATTTGAGTCAGCCTCATCTGCAAGTAGCATATTGTTCCTTCCTTAAGCTTTTAGTTTTCAAGAGAATACAGTTGTAAATTATAGGTTGTGGGTTACCTCTTTCTCTTTTGGAAAATTTGCTTTATATGTGATTTATTTTATTTTATTTATTTATTTGACAGAGAGAGAGAGAGCACAAGCAGGGGGAGCAGCAGGCAGAGGGAGAGGGAGAAGCAGGCTCCCCGCTGAGCAGGGAGCTTGATGCGGGGCTTGGTCCCAGGACCCTGGAATCAAGACCTGAGCCAAAGGCAGATGCTTAACCAACTGAGCCACCCAGGCGCCCCTATATGTGATTGTTTTAATGAATGTTTTCTTTTACTTTCCTCACCCTTTATTTTGCTTGCTTCCTTTTTTTTTTTTTT